AAACCACCTGTACTGTAAGCTATTACATACATTCACTAGTAGTGGCAATTATGGTTGTCTGTATAGTGAAACACTATACAAGGATGTGTTGAAATAAACTTGTTTGAAAGTTCAAAGACATAATATTCAAGTTAAGAAAAGCTTTCTTACTATCATATATACAGTAATGTTCAAATGCACCCATGCTGTGCTGAATGAGAGTGACCCCCAACAGGGATGAGAGAGTTTACGGCAAACCAACGAAGTTCATGCTGCTAACCTTGTGGCTTTTTCAGCACAATAGACAAAAGTGCGGCTGCAATGAAACAAACTTGAAATAAAAATACATTTTATGAAATAAAATTGAAATGTTTTATGTTTATGTGTGATCCTATTTAGAACTAAGAAATACTTGTTTATTGTTTAGGATTACTTAGAAATATTATTTTTGGTCTTGTATATTACTTGAAACCATAAGGAGAGTACGTGATTATTAAAAATTTAAAATAGACAAAATTTGCATTTTATGGATGATAAAAAGTTTTAGAGATTTTAAAACAATGTACTAAAACATAAAATGTAAGAAGTTCAAATCTGGAACAAATATAAATATCATAATCGTATCTTATAAATATCATTTCCTAATGTAATTTTCCAAGATGTTAAAGATAACTTATAAAAACTAGTTTTATCAAAAGTAACAGGCTTTATGTTTCTTAAACTACGTGCATTTATGAAAGTTTTTATGAAGTTTCAAACAGTTTCATTCACCGGTTTTATTGTTGGAATGAAATATAGCAAGACTTGTGTTGGCTATGCAGAAAGTTAGTAGCTGGTGTGATCGGGTTAATGTTAAAACTCTATTTAGGATCCTGCATAGATGATCTTGAGTCAGCGTAAGCACACATGTTACAGCATTTTTTATTACAAGGATAGCTACCTACAATAAAATTTGTGTCTGTTGGGGTGGGTGTTTTAACTCTTTCAACAAGGACTCGTTCAATTTGACCTACCATGTGACTTCTTTGTGCTCATTCAAAGTCTATACAGATTTGATACTACTAACTTTTAATATAGTGTGTATATCTTCATGAAATTTGGCAGTCTTTCAGTAATCATTATAAGTTATTCACATACAAAAAATCATATTTTTTAGTGAAGTATTTTTAATAAACTAACAAAAGGTTTGTCCTTGAATGTATCGAGTATTTGTTTTGAATATTCAGTGTGCAGAGTGATTTTCATGTTAAGATTAAAAATACTTTTCTTTCTCTCAAAAATCTCAAATTACATTTTTGTAATCTCAAAAACTTCCTAAATATGTTTCAAATGTTTGTTTTTAATAAAAACTTTATGTCTTATCTGTTATTTTTTCTACCTTAATTATATAAAAGGTTGGTCAATTTGACTGACCTTGTAACCATAAAAAGAAAAGTTAAGTATGTTTGTCAAAAAAGTGTCTTAAGGCTATTAAACTCTCCTATTGCAGTGTTACAGTGTATAATGATTTGATGTTCATAGTAAATAAAAGGACTGAGTCTGTTTTGGGGTTAAAATTAAATGTGTTGAAGAATCTAAGGGCATGCTAAGTGTCCTTAATATAAGTGGGGAGTGAGTGGATGAGGGGAGCCATTATGGAATCTAAATAACTAGAGATAATTTCAGTTGAAGCATTGCAAGTAGACACAATGGGTCTATCAAGGTTGTTGGGTTTATGAATTTTAGGCACTAAATAGGAAACACCAGTTCTAGAGTCAGAAATTGGTGTTCCTGTGTTATACTTGAATAAATTTTCAAGAGAAAGGGAGGAGGTTGGGAGTAAGAACTTTAAAGGTAGGGTTTATAGCTCTATTTAGTTCTGTTTAATATTTTATTGTTCTATTGAATATCCTTTTGTAAGGGTGGAGGTTGGACGTGTAATTAGTAGAAATGTTAGGGTGTTTTCATTTCTACTTTAAGAAATTTAAGGGTAACTGCCTCCCTACAACTGGCTATAGACAGTAAAAGGCAGTAGAAGCTGAGATGTTGTGGGTGTAAGCACTCAGCTTCATACATTTTGATTTTCCATGACGGCTGACTAGATGAACATCATTGGATTTTGTCCAATAGATGGGATAATCTCAATGCACTTGGGTGCTATTGCCACATACATTATCTACTACAACAATTAGTTGACAACCTGGACCAATAACGGTAATACGATATTTAATTCATTATTTGTTACATTGGCACATGACCTTCAATTTAGAATGTTTTGGTTTACGTATTTACTGTGCAGTTAGTGATACCTGAAGAAGGACATTGCCCAAAATGCTGTATCCACAACAATGTATTTATTAAAATATGTATATCTGTAGTTAGCTCCTAGTTGTCTTCGGTGGTTTGACCTACAACATACTTCTTTTCCACCTCGTACAGAGTTAGCATAGAGAAAATAAGTAAAATATAATGTTTTCCTGAAATAAAAAATTTAAATTTATTTAGGAGGTTTTAGAGATTATACAAGTGAAATTTGAGAATTTTCAGTTGAAGAAAAGTATTTTTAATCTTAACATGAAAGTTACTTTGCACTTGGAGCAGTCAACACTTTGAAGACTACATGTATTGACAGAGAAGTTTTCAGTAAAAATACTTCATTAAAATGTTTGATATTTTGTCTTCAAAAGTCTTTCAATGTTTACTGAATGATTCTCAA